ATTCCTGCTTCTACACTTCTGTAGTAATAGACAGCAGCAGAATTAACATGTCAAACTCATTGCTAATGCTCAGAGTTTGGAGCAAATAACTCTTGGCAGCAGTATTCTAAACCAGAACCTACTGAAATCCTTTGAAAAGGGCACCTCTTCCTCACCAGATTGTTTTGTGCAAGTATGGAATTCCTAAAGCTGAAAAGTCAATCCATTTCCTCTATGCAAATACACAGGTGCACAAGCACAAAACATGCATGTGCATAAACAGTGCTATTTTGAACTGAACAAGCCTAAGCAAAGTCCACTCATATACAAGCTGTCCTCACCATGTTTTTAAAAACAGTTTGTGATCAACCTCATTTGATATTTCTTTCAATACTTCTCATCCTCGATGCAAAGAAATGCTACGTGAAATGCCTTCATTTTAAAATACTGAAACAAACATTAGTTTCTTACTGGTAAGCTCGATGGTCTTTCTTGCTGGATTAGATTCAAGTCTTCATGGTTAGGCTTTCCTGGGGCCATAGGGGGTTGAGATCTGGTTCCATAGCCTTCCTGAGACATGTCCTGCAACAACAGTTGTAACAGAATTATTAGCCTGACTCAGTAATTACAATTAAATCTGCATCACACAAGGGTGAAAATACAACCGCTGAATGGTTAAACCTTCTTGATGGAAGTATCAAGCCCGTGCACAGGTACCACTATGACCTGTACTATCCATAAAGAAATTCAGGGAGCAGAGTAAGCAGCACGGAATCACACTGCTGGAATGTGAGGAAACACACAAAACCAAATCTGCTACATAAATTACTCCCTTTTACTGTAAGGGAGTAGCAAGCACAAAGTGGTCAAAACATTCCCCCTACTCTGAGATATATTCTCAAGCGTTTTGATGAAGTACTATTCAGGTCGAAGCCGGACTTGAAAATAAAATTGTAATTGCACCATGTAATCAGACTTCTGTAACAACCCTGGATTTACCATCACTACTACTCTCACAACTTTCAAACGCTGGCTGTCAGGTCATAGCATGCAACATCGTCATATCTGCTGGAGGCATGTTGTAACTGATGGGTTAGAAGGAAAGTGCATTTGATCAAGAGTAGCTCCCGAAGCCTGTACTGGCAACCTGGGGATTTTCCTCCCCATACAAAACCAAGCAGTCATAGGTAACAGCCTGACACAACACCCACCACACAGGAGTGGGGGGAGCAATGGAACAACCTCCCTCACGCCATCCCCCACCCCACGGCACAAGCTTACTTCACACACAGAGATACTTGCCCATTGCAAAACCTTAGATTCAGGCTTCATTTCAGCTACTATAGCTGCTTCTACACTAAATTCTTCAAGGAAAACAACAGAAAGTGCAATACAGACTTTTCAGCATGTGTAACTGGCAGGGAAAGTTGAAGAACCAGTTTCCAACTGCTAGAAAAGATACCTCACCGTAAAGGTTTTTCTTTGTTGTTTTCAAGTGGTTTGATTCTCCTCTCCCCAGTCCTGAGGAGAGTTTACCACCAGTTCAATTCGCTTCAGCTACCCTCACCCCTTCAGTTTTGACAGGTACCTGAAAGCACACCAGCGCTCCTGGGGCAAAGGGGCAGAGGAAGTCGTCCTCTGCCCCAGCCCATCACAGCTTGAGCATCCACTTGCTGCTGCTTTGAGTGTCCCTACCAAAAGATACGGCTCATGCATAGACTCCGTGATGCAGCTGGCTGGCAGAGCAGGAAAGCTTTCCATCTCTGGTTTAAGTCCAGCTCCTGGCAGAGGGAAATTAGTTAACAACTCCACCAAACAGTATGGAGAACACATTCAGTCCCTTCCATCACTTTGGGCTCTCCCATATTATTTTAAGGGATGCAGAAAGTTCAGTGGGGCTAATAAAACAAACCCTAGCATACTTGATACGATGTAAACCCAGCAATAAACGATCCTACCCCTAAGCCTGTGCCAAGTAAAATCAAGAAACACTTAAAAGGCCAGCACTTCAATGTGGTTACCAGCAGAGGGTAACAATTAGGCTTAAGGGTGACAAAGGCTGATGGCTGAATGATTATTATCCCCTGTGACCCCCCGTGCTCCCCCCCGCCCAGATTTCCACTTGTCACACAGCTCTCCTGCTGCGAACACCAGCAGGTTCCTGTGGATTAACAGCGAGGTTTAAAATCAACAAATGGCACAGGGCCTCCATTCAGCAGCCTTCACCCCAGTACAAAGGAGCAGAAAGGTGCAGGACAGCTTCACAATAGGCAAACAAATGAGCAAACCTCTGCTTTCCTTTTTATTTAAAAACACGCGCGCACACACACACACACACACACACACACACACACACACAGAGTCACGCACATGCACGCTAGGGTTTGACACTGTGGAGGATTCTGTAATAAACCTGGCAGCCCTAGATTGCAACTTCCAATCCAGTGTTCGACTCTCTTCTTCCTAATTCTTAAAAAAAATAGACCAAATAAGAACCACTTGTTAAAATAACAACAATGAAATAAACACCCAGAAATACGAAGAGTGGTGAAAAAGAATAAATGGAATATTCAACTTAGGGAATGTCAATTTAGAGACACAATTGTTCCTTTTTCCAAACAGACACTACAGGATTTTGCTGGGAAGTAAAACGTGGTTTATATTTTGAAAAATCAAGGGGCATTCATTCCTTACAAAGTACCAAGCGTGTTTTTACCCACGTGTTTGCAAAATGTTAACCTCGCTTCCTACTGAAATTTCCAGGGGGACTGGAGCAGAAGGAAGAGACAGCATGTTTTCTCTTGAGAAATACTACATGTTGAATGGAATTTACTTTTACCTGGGTATTTAAAGACTATCTATGAAATATCTTTCCATACACTTGAGAGCACATTTAAAAACCTCAGACACGACACCTTTCATCTTATTAAATGCACCGTTTTCACAGTGCTTTCTTTTCTGACTGTGCAAAAATGAAATCCATTTGCTCAATGAGATTTGGAAACAAAAACTGCAGACATCCATGTTTGTTATGATACTGATACCTGTGTGCTCCAAATGGGACTGAGCTCACATACTCTTTCTTATGTTCTCTGTAAATCCATTTAGATACTTAGATCACTGGAAACTTGGAAGGCAGCTCTTGAGAAGTAAAGAATCAGTTTGCTCTCATTAAATTACAGGCATGGGAATCTCCCAGATGAAATATGCATGGGGCTGTGTGTGTAATTTTATGTGTTTATACATATGCATTGTCCAATAAAAACAGTCCATTTATATACTAAACATAATGATGATTAAATAATAGCATATTTCACTAAGAGGTTGGCTTCATAACCAAAATGTGTGTGTGCTTAATATCATTTTCCCTAAAAAACAGAGAGAAAATCCTTGCTGCCTTTCTTCAGCTCTGCATTAGGAAATGTTGTTAACATACAGCACATTAAAGAACAGATACAACAGATTTTAAAAGATAAATAAGAAATAAGGACAGAAGTATTAGGGTAAATTGTCACTGAAGAAACATGTGGAGCTAACAATTCTCACGTTCAGTTTTGAAAGGTCATTTTTCTCTCTAGCAGCTAGGAATGGATTTATCAGGGATTGAACAGAGGGAACATAAGGGGAAGAGGAACATGTTACCATGTGTTGTGCTACAGTAATGGCTGAGGAGTCCTCCACTGATACTGGGGCTCCATTTTCTCCTAGGATCTCTGATATTTTTTCTTTTGAGTCCCAGTATTTCATTCATCAATGACATCAGCTTCCAAAGCAAAGCTCATGATTTTTTTATGAATCACAGAAAATCCCTCCTCCCATAGAAGACGAGCATGTGTGTAAGAGAGAAATCCAGGCTTTTATAAACAGAAGGCTACAAGTTTCCACTCAGAACTTCCCAACCTGGCACAAACCCAATCATATCATAGCTGTTAAAGCACAAACTGTCAACAAAGTTGTAAAATAACTAAAAGCAGGGTTTCCCCCATCAGATTTTAGAAAAGACACAGGGGCAAATACTCAACAAACCATAAACACACACTCAGAATAGCTGAAGTTTAGACTTTTTAGACTTTTCAAAAAACATCTGTACTGTCAAACAGGTAGACAAAAAAAAAAAAGGGACTATGCCTACATATACACAGCCTACAACTTGTGTATTGCACAATTTGTTCAGAAAACAATCCATAATAATTATTATATTTGGGTAATAATAATCAATTGCTTATCATTCACAGAGCCAGGAATAGTTATTTTCCTCCTGTTTATGTACAATTTTAGCTTGCTCTGCAAATTGTGGTATATGGAGCTCAAGATTTGTGCAGTCCGAAGAATACAGGAGGAAACAGAGGATTTTCTTCCTGCTTATTCTCTGTTACTGTATTGATCTTACAAACTTTTAAAGTCTCTAATTCTGGTGTGGGATTAAACAGATGTTTAAAGCAACCAGGTCAGCCTGCAAGGAAATCAAAGGCCCCTTGTTCCTGCCCGACACAACTCTTCCAGTTGGATGTATCCCCCCCTCCCCTTAGCTTGTGTCAGGGGGCCTTCATCAGGTCTACATATTAAATGGTGCAACTTAAACTTGCCAGAAAAGTAACCCCTCCTCCCCAATTTCATAATGGATTACTAAGCAGAGCTGGCCTTGGCAAGAGTTGGGTGAGCAATTAGAGGAAGGAATCTTCCTTCCTTTGGTGGCCACCAGCCCAGCTCCACGAGGCACCAACCCGCAGCCCCAGTCAACTGCACTGCGACCACTTTGGAGCCAGGCACAGAGAGACAAGCTTCTCCCTGTGGATGTGCGTGCTAATCAGCACCACACTTTCAGTCTCTAGCTGGATCTAGTTTAAAACATCCAAGGCTGTCCACTCTCAAATGTTCTCTGCAAACCTGAATGAATGCAGTGCTGAAAAGGGTTGAAATCACATAGATGAAACGCACATTTGTTCTAAATTCTGCCAAAGAAGGTAAGATCTAATTATTAAATAGTTTAAATTATTTTTAATGGAAAATAAAAGCATAGTAAAAACATTAATGTTTGGGGGAAACCACATTTAAGTAAGGGCTGGGTGAGAAATCATTTAGGCTTCATCCACTCCTACTGCAGCAAATTTCAGAGGGATAACATGACCACCCAGGAAGATAAGTACGATGATGGTTAAATAGAAGGAAAATAATTTATGGAAAATAATATACTAGACTTCAATTTGAAAAACTCATTAAAAACCCATGTTCCTGATTCAGTTGGTTGATCTTTAAAAGACTTCAAGTACGAGAGCAGTGAATTCTAGAGCAATGCGAACAGCAAAACAGGAAGCAAATGTGATTTCTCCACTCCCCGCCCTGGACCACTTCAGAATGGAAGTCAGGACCCAGTGCAGCAGCCAAGAGGAGTGCACAGCCCTACCTACAATATAAGATTATTTTGCTCACTCTGAAGGGGATACTATGGAACAGAAAGGAGGCAAGTGATGTCTTAAGGACTATAGAAGGACATTCCTTGTTATCACTTAAACAAGTATCTGTTCGTTCTGTGTAGATAAATACATATCAATTGTGTAGACAAATACATATCAACACATTTC